CTGGCTGGGGAATTCTGGAAGTTGAAGTCCACCCATCTTAAAGCTGCCAAGGTTGAGAAACCCTCTTCTAACCAGTGGGAGGCATGTTATATATTGCTAACTCTCTTTACATCTCAATAGAAGAGAATATATGTAGCTCAGGGTTGCACTGTGGAGTCCCTGGTGCTCTCTGAGCTTGGATGTTTGCTTGCAGACATTTCATTACCCAACTAGGTAACATCGTCAGTGCTAATGGGTGTGGGGTTTGCTCCTTGTAGCTTGTCCTGCCAGTGTTGGTGGAGGTGTGGTTTCCTCCTTGGTAGTTCCTTGATTAGGGTATTAAGTACAGCCACCGAAAGATTGTCCAGCTTGGTTCGTCAATTACAGAAAAATGGCAGCTGGAGAGAGATTTAGCCAGAAAAAAATGGAGAGGTTTTCCTTAAGAATCTTTGTAGCACTTCAGGAAGGGAAGCTGGTGCTATTCTTTGGGTGAGGAGATGGGCCAAATTGCTATCCAAAATTAAAATAAGTGTGAACTTTATCATTTACTTATGCCAGAAGTGGTGTGTCTCTCCCTGCAATTTTTCTGCTTGTTGAGGGTTGCAGATGTAACAGACTGGTTGTCTTTACAGATTGATTTAACCATCAGCTTCATGTTTGGATTGAAAGAAACCTCTGAGAAGCAGAATGACTCCCTGGTTCACCCAGAAAAGTTTCTGGTCTGGTATACAGATAGAGATCAGTATGATCTCTTGAGGGGGTTTCATTTCTGGAGGGAGAAACAGAGAAATGTAGGCAGGATGTTTTGAAAAAGCTCAATGCTCCAGTTGTTTCTGTTTGTTCTGACTTCTTCTCTAGGCCTGATCAATCCAAGATCCAAAGAGAAAGAGAAAAGAGAAGAGAAAATGCAAAGAGAAAATGCAAAGGAGATTAATCTTTGCTACTCTCCTTGTAATGCTTGTTTCCAGATGAGAGTAATTTCGGAGTGTGGTTAGACTAGTAACACTAGAAACCGTCCATCTGTCTTGAAGCCTTGTATTTTAAAAAAAGGTGGGAAAAGAGGTAGGAAAACACAGGGAAGATGTGGAAGTTTGGGCTGTGTTCATATGACATGCTTAACGTGGATAGGGCTTCAGTGCATTTTCTGGGTTGACACAATGCATTGAACCCTAACCTGACCAAGTAGGCTGGGTATTCGCGGGATGTTATATCATAAAAAATAACCCATATTAATATCAACCAAGCTTGGCCTATTTTGTAAATGCAGTTGCTAGTCTTCTACTGACTTGGCTGTGCGTGTTGTATGAAGACAAGTTCAGTGATATCGAGATAGAAAAAGAACATCAGAGCCTGGGATGCCCAGAGATGTCACGGTTGATTGACAGGCATTTGTTTCTAACCACACCAACGCCAATGTGCATCATAACATCACGATGCGACCTCCACCATACTTGCATCATGATATTACACACAAATACACACAGGGTAGAGTTTGCACCATGATGTCATGACACTTGCTTTGTCCCTTGTCCTCTCTATGGGCTCCTGCGACTGATTTCTGTACTGTGCCCAGTGGTCACCACATTGGCTCGCATGCATTAAGGCTCAGGCGCAGAGCGGTTGCAGACCTCCCGGTGAGGCGTGGGTCTTAGCAGGGGTCAGTCATTCTAACGCTGAAAGTTGCTCTAATCATCTTAGCTTAATCAGGTGTTCTTGCACCCTGCCTTTCTTCAGGGTGCTATACCTAGGAAATCTGAAATTAACTGCAGTCCAGCTAGGTCCAGACATTGTACTTGGCTACAATAAGGTTTGTGGCCTAGCATATTATCTGATCCCAGCCAGTGGTGCCTTATGCAGCAAGTCACAAACCGTGACTTGGTGCAATGTGTGAACCAGGTTTGTCTCTGCAAATACTGTAAGGAAGAGGAAAGTAAAGGCTAGCTTTCCTCTGGCACAGAGAACAAAACTTGATCGCATGGCCTTCTTTTGCAGAGAGTTGAATGCTTGGAAAAACATTTTGCCAGCCTAAGGAGTTTGCCAAAAAGACCGATTTTGTGATTTGAGTGGGATGTGTGGCTTTCGTTCAAGCAGATGCTGGTCAGTACTTCATGGGGGATGTGCTAGCTGTGGATGTCTCACTCTGAGCAAGAAATTAGGCCTCTTTGAACTCTTATAATGCCATGAAACTGGCAGCCTAGAAGGCAACCAGGAAACTGTTTCCAGAGACTGCTACAAGCTGGTTAATCCAGTTCCTGATTTGGAACATTTCATGCAAACAACATGGGTTTGTGCCATTAATAGCTTCCTTAATTAGTACCAGTTATAAGATCACATACTTCAGGGAATTTGCAAGTTTATTGCAGCAAGTCCTTGACCTATCCATCTTCTGCAGCAAGTGGGCTAGAATAGCAAAGAAACATGACATACTCAAGCACTGAATGTAAGCCTGGTGCATCTGGTACAAGGATGGGTGCTGTGACTGGTCAATGCCAATTTTTCATAGTTCATCAATCCATTGTGTCACATTTTTCATGTTTTTTTTTTAACTGAACTGTGTCTGTTTTCCATGCCTGTCTCTGAAAACACATTTGTATTCCAGGAAGTATCAGTTGCATAAATAAAAAAGCCACTAGCCATGCTGGCTGAGGGATTAAAAATAAAATCCTGACCCTGAGGCTAAATAATTTTTTTTTTAGGAGCAACCAAAATGACCTAAAAGGTTTTGTAGGTTTTGAGTCAGGCAAACTGCTACAAAGAACAGAGAAAAGGGAGGAAATAAAAATAGCCCAACATTACGCCAGAAATGCCAGCCAGCGGAGTCTGTATTTCAGTGCTGTTTTCACAACGCTGGTTATGGACTGAATGCAGTGTTAAGTCTGCCTACTAGATTTAGAGCTCATATACTTACTTAATACCCCAGCTCCTGACTGCAGGGCAAACTGGGTCAGTTGCTGCTACAAAAAGTGGTGACTGCCACTAATTGAGTGGCATGAAAAAGGAAGATGACAAAGTCATGGATGATAAATCTGTATACAGGAGAAGTGAGCATCCCTAAAACTCCTCCCGGATTACTGTATTAAAATATTGTGCCATAACATTGAAACCTGTATGCTTTTGTACATCTGGGCAAAATTTAAGCCCTCTCCCACCAGGTGACTTCCACCTCTCCACCATATTGTCTACAACTCTTGCAGGCTGGTAAAATATTTCTGACCAAGGAAAACCATGTTTCTGAAACCCAGTTCAAGTTCCTGAGGAAGCAGTATGCGAGTGGGCTGTTGTCCTCTTGTTCCGTCAGTTTTCCAGAAGCATCTAGTTGAGTCCTGTAGGATACAGGATGGTGGAGTAAATGCAGATTGAGTCTGAAGCACCAAGGCTCTCATTACTCCAGGTTTTACCACCTTGAGTGTTCTCCAAATGTCCCTACTCAGCAGCTGCCACAGGGGCAGTATCAAGGGAGGGCAAATGACAAAAGCAGCATCACCCCACAAGCTCCATCCTTTCCGTACTACATCACGGTGTCACATTCCCATGCAAAAAGTATAGAGCTTGTGCAAAGATTTGAGGAAGACATCTCACATCTTGCAGACACCTCTGTACCTACTTGCGGAACTCTCAGAATTGAAGCCACACATCTGGAGGGCACTAAGTTTGGGGTAGGCTGCTTACACTTCATGTTATCAGCTCTAGACCTGGACCCCCAGATGTGGAGTCTGAACCCATGTAACTCTGGGCAACTTACAGAAAATTCAACAGAACCTACAAAAAAGAATAAACAATAAGAAAATGGGGATCCAAACAGAAATGACACCAACATCCAATTGGGGTTCCAACACATCATGACTCAAAAGCCCAGGAGGAAAGCCAAGTCTTAGCATTCTTTATAAGGGCCAGCAGAGTGTTCAGCAACATCTGGAGGAGTTCCTTTTCTGGACTGTTATAGTTTGAACAGTCATGAAGTCCTGATATCTCCTGGCCATGTGGGATTCTCAATGGTGCTGGGCACTTGTGCTGTGCACTCATCCTCTTCAGATATATATATATATAGAGAGAGAGAGGGAGGGAGGGAGGGAGAATGTATGTGTGTATGTATATACCTACCTACCTACCTACCTACATATAAACATACATACATACATACATAGAATTTTTTATTAGTAAGACTGTAGAGAAACCATCCAAACTTCCATTATCTGGATATTAACCAAAATCTGAAAGTGTATCTCCCACATACAGAAAAAAACTCAGAAATCTTAAACTTTAAAATCACAGCCAAGGAGCTATCACTGTATTTTGGGACGCCACTAATGTTTCCATTTCTGCAGCATTTGTCATTCTGGATTGTCACTAATCTTAGTCTCCCTGCTCTGTGAATTAAAACGTAATGGGGCAACATAGAACAGTTTATGGGGGTAGGCAGAATGCAGAGTTAAATCATAAACTGACATTGAAAGCAAGCCCTGTTACTAACTTTTTATTTAGAAAGGTCAGATATTTCCTGCCAAAGTATGGACTTAATCAGTTCATTTCAGTAATAGTGTCAGAGTCCTGGAAGTTTTCCTTTTTTTTAAACACACACACACACACACACACACACATATGAGCTTATGTAATCTTTCTTGAGAATTCTAATAATAACATGATGATTTTGAACTCCATATAGAGAGCAGTTTTGAGTTGCTGAGCCTACTCTAGCTCTGAGTTAAGTTCTGTCTTGCTCTGCTTTTTTAGTTGTACTTAATGCCAGATAAATGGATGTTGGCATTAGTTGTCATGTTAAATCTATCTCCCAGTCTGGACCATTTAAAAGATGTGTACATGATTTCTTAACCGTTTTCCATTAAAATGTGTCCCCAATCTTGCGTCCTCCTGAACCTGCTATGATTTCAATTTTCAGAATTTCCTGGCAATCTGGGAATTGCAGTCTCAATGCATCTGAAGGGCATCAGGTGAGATATTAATTCTTTAAAATATCCCAATGGCTTTGTTGCATTCCTTTTAAAATTAGGATCTCCATAAGTTTCATTATCATACTTGGCAACCATACCAAGCAAGTTAATGCCAATCTTACTCCAGTAAGTGCCTGTATTTAGGGGGGACCGAATAGGTTGCCCAGATCTCCCTCGAAGGAAGGTCACTGGATTTCTGAGTGACTTCTTTTCTTTTCTGTTGTTTAGATGGTCTAAAATTACAGTAAAGTTACTATGTACAACTATGGGGATTCAGAGTCTAGACCAGTGTTTCTCAGCCTTGGCAAATTGAAGTCCAGACATCTTCAAGCTGCCAAGGCTGAGAAACACTGGTCTAGATGATCATTCTAGCCCATTGTGTCAATCAGGTATGAGCTATGGTAGAAGGGTTGGAGGTTTCTCCAACTTCTAAAGGACTACAGGAGGCTGACATCATTAGAAGGGAGGGGGCCAAACTATCCATATGGGGACAAAATTGGGGATGTTTGAGGGGATTAACAGTGGGGATTGGAACGTTTGGATACCATATGCCTTTCTCTTTCATTCTAACTCATGCTAGGCAGGAGAGGACCAGAAAAACCTACTGCCAAAATTCAGCCATTTTGCCACCAGTCTGGTAACACAATCTTGGATCCTGGAGGTTGCATGCAGCCCATGAGTTGCCTTCCCCAGGTGAAAACGGAATTAAGTTTAGGTCATGGGGAAACAAGGGAGATGGGAGAGGAGATCAGAGTGAGTCTCTGCATGAGATTTTATTTATCAATCTAGTTTATATCCCATTGTATCATAAACAGACTCTCAGCGGCTCAAAATAATAACTGAGATAAATTTAAGTCAAATATTTTTGGCAATCAAGGGTCAGTAGAGTCCAAGAATAAATAACTTTTCCACTTTTCATGGCCACAGATCACAAGGCACTATACACATCCCCGCTGAAACAAACAGGAAATGTAAAAGTGTTCTTGCACCAACCCCAAGGGAGTATGTGTGAAAGTAGAGTGTCCGACTGGATGGCATCCTATGGCAAATTCTCCTTGGTAAGCTCCATTGAAATGCATGGGAACTCTCACAAGGGCACTTTCACTTTGGTAGTGCCCATGGGCCGCGTTCCTAGGGAATAAGATTGTTCATAGCTATTATTCATGATGGCTATTTATTAGGGGTCTGCAGAGATCCTGATTTGAAGAGTGACATGTGATTTGGAGTATTTATAGGTGCAAACTTAGCATCTGTCAGTAAAGCAGCTGCATCTTTTTCTGGGTTTATGTGGCTGCTCTCTGCAATGCATGATCCCAGGAAAAAGTGTGCTTGGTTTAAGGTGTTCCCAGGAGTGCTATGTGTGTGGCTATGCATGTTCCTAATTACATTCTACCCTTCAGTGTATTATAGACCTTGCTATGTCACCTCCACTTGCTGAGGAACATCAGTGGGAGGCTACAGTTGAATGCATGTCCTACTTCCCAGAGGCATCTGATTGGAAACAGTGTTGAGCTGGCTAGGCTAAGGGAAGGCCACGTGAATGCTGGGCTGCAGGCATTCTTAAAAGAGGTGATACCTGCAGCCCACTGTTCCATTTGCAAGTGTGGTGAGGTGGGGTGGTGCAGAGCATTCTTTACTGCAACCATTTTGTGAATGCAATCACAGGACATCCTCCAGACTCCAGGTACATCCACCAGCTCCAATGGCTTGCCTAGTCCTCTCTTGGGATTTTCAATTTCTTCAGTTTGCTCTAGCCCTGGCCTTCTTACTTCTTCCAAGGGACTTGTGTCAAATGAGTTACTTTTGGTATGTAACCTGGGTTAGGCAACGTGGGATGATCCTATGTTCCCTTTCATGAGCTGAACAACCAAAACTTATCGAGTGGTTATCTAGGAATTGTGGCTGACTAGATTATTTTCATGGTAATAAACTCTTAAATTGACATGTTGGAACTTTTGAGTATGAGGTATTTTTAGCTGAGAGTTTGAGTTCTTGGAAAGTTCAAGAAAGACAGCTCTTTCCAGAAATTAATCTGATTGACATTGATGCCTATGTAAGAGATCCAGGAACACCGAAATAGGCAAGAGGAGCACTAAAGACATCGGACCAAGGCGAATAAGCCAAAATAAGGGCCACATCATTTTATTGCCGTAATTGCTAAGAATACATCGGAAATTTGCATCAATCTCATCCAAAGAGAGGCAACAACGCATTACAGTCTGCAATGCCATCAAAACGTTTTGCAGAAATGGTAACATTTTTTGTCTGCTGGCAAGACATGTAGCAAGTTAAAGTACTATAACTTGATAAATCAGATTGGAAATGGTAATTAAAGTTAGTTACTCTCGAGACAGAGTAGTTGGGGAATAAGAGCATTAGGAAGCAATCAAAGTGTGTCTGTGTATTAGATATCTGGTATATGTGTGATAATAGATCTATAGCTACATCTGTATATCTTTATACCTTTAGGGGTTACATAGTGCTGGTGGATTAGCATTTTTTTCCCCTTAAGATCTTTTAAAAATCCCTTTCTTTCTCTTTCTTTCTATAATTTCTCCTGATGTAGAACTTGTCAGAGCTTGACAGTTTGGGACAGGAATACATTTGTCATTATAAAGCTTGTTCACTTAATGTCTTTCCCCAGAGACTAATAACACCTTAAAATGATTAAAATGAAAACAAAGAATTTATATTGGATGTGCTTGTGTGCTCAGTGCATTGTTGATTAGCTTTAAATCATGTTTCTAACAACATTGCAGACTGGAGCTCACCTTGAGCTCCTGCCTTGTACCACCAGACCCACTTTTTAAAATTGAGGACAAATAGAAAATGGGCTGGTTTACAGATAATGCAAAACAAAGAGACCAGCACGTTGTTTTGGCCTCCAAAGGCTGCAAGGTGCGGAGGTGATGCGGAGGAGCTCTCCGCAGACAGAGAGGTTTTATGGGACAACCACAATAGAAATTGGGCTTTGGGGAACATGTTTTCACACCCCAATAATGTACAGATGGGTCTTACTCACTACTAGAACTGATTTATTACCAAATGTAGAAAAGAATTTCCCCGTAGGCTAGCTAAGCCGGCCAAGAAGTGTTATGTTTGGATCAGGATTTGAAACTGAGGTTCTCAAGTCCCAATCTAGCCTTGTAATTCACCACAAGTTTGGTTGTTGATTAGAGCTTAGCCATCCCTTTTCTCTGATTCCAGGGTTCGTTTCACTCAGCCCACCAAAGCCTAAGTTTGAGGTAATGAAGGACACTTTTGGGTCCAGAGAACATGTGATCGCCAAATAAATAAGTCATATTATGCTTTAATGCAGTGTTTCTCAACCTCAGCAGCTTTAAGCTGGGTGGACTTCAACTCCCAGAATTCCCCAGCCAGCA